GGGGGGGGGGTACACATTCCTTTTACTGAAATACAGTAAAATTGTTTTAGCAGAATTTGTAGGTATGTGCATGACATATCAGTACAGAACGTACAGAATATCCCATGTCAAGGCCCACTGACTCACTACCCTCCGTACTGCATGGGCACCATACTGTCCTGTATTCCACAGAAATTACCTTCTCAAAAGTTTTAAAATCTTTCAAAGCCCTACACACAGAATTAAATGGCGTTAGCACTACTTCCATCTCAGAGATTTACACCGCCTTAATGTAGGAAATAAAATGTACAAATGTAGGATGGCCCTTAGTGGCATGATATTCATATCAAGTTTCATGACAATTCCTCAACTGGTCCAAGGGTTATTGGGGAGGGGAAGACAAGCACAGGGGCATGAAGATCCTTGCCCTTCATTAGGTTAAACATGTGGTCATAAGGACCATTATGCTTTTCTGCAGCACTGAGTGATTTCTGAAGTAAGCAAGTATCTATCTCTAGCACTGTGACGTCTGCTGTGGGAGATGGTAGCGCCAGATAAACCGGAAAAAGATAGACAGTATCCCCATACCATGACTCACGAGACTACAAGGGGCATACAAATGCTCTCCCTTCCTTACATGAGTCTCATACGGCAACATTTCTGGATTAAATTGCAGTGCCTAAAGCAAAATTCCAGCGAATAAGAAAATGCGCGTTTGTCGCACTTCTAGTGGCTATTTTGCGTACTACAGTTGAGTCGCTCTTCAAAGGACACTTCCTTTAAAGCCTCCGCTATTTAAAAGCTAACCCGCATTTGCATCGTACAACGCGTTTTCAAAACGAGACTCTGACGACCGCGTCATGGCGGTACAGTCACTACTCTGGTGTGACGGAATTCTGAAGTTTTGGTTAAGTATCGGTGGCGTTGAATGATAAATGATTACTGGTGGATTTGTAATGTTGTATGGAGCAATAATACATTAATTACTAACTCCTGAACACAAAACGTAGAATGACAAATGTTGCCAATCACCCGACGCAATCGTATTATTCTCTTGGGCCTGAAGAAAGCCATGAACGTTTTAGGATAGAGATAGGATGGGATGGTATGGATTGGATGGATCTGGCTCAGGATAGGGACCAGTGGAGGGCTCTTGTGAACACGGTAATTAACCTTCGGGTTCCATAAAATGCTGGGAAATTCTTGAGTAGTTCCAGAATTGGCGGTTCCTCCAGAAGGGCTCAGCTCCATGAGTAAGTAAGTAAGTAGGTAAGTAAATAAGAGAGGGTTCCGTTAACAATGAATATAAATCACATGCAGTACTACAGAAGTAAACGGTGATGTTTCATTCGCTGGAGGCTCTGAACCAGAGACGGATTTGGTTTCCGAAAATAAACTGGCCTCTCCTTGGAAGAATGTTGAGTACCTATAGAAACAAAAAGGTAAGCTATCCCTGTAACAGACCGTGAAGGCCCATAGGGTTGTGATATGTCGAGGCTCCCACATTTTATCTTGACAATCGGCTCACTGATGGCGGTAAGGTTACCAAACCTACGCGCCGGCTGGACTCAAACCCGCGACCTTCCTGCTTTTAGCATAGTGCCTCAACCAACTTCGCTACCGCTTGCTCCACCTATAGAAACAACTCCCGTATAAGAAAGTTTGCCGATCACAGTGGCCGCGCAGTCTAAGAAATGAACGGTCTTTGCTCGCTCGAACGCTGCGATTGTGGGCTCGAGTCCCACTTGAGACATGGATATCTGTGTGCGTTCATTCTGTGTTTGTGTTGTCCTCTGTGTAGGTAGCGGCCTTGCGACGGACTGATCACTCGTCCAAGGAGTCCTACCGACGGTGTAAAAAAGATTACGAAACTGAAGAAGAGGTCAAGGCTCAACAAAGGGCTGTAGGGCCACAGATGGACGAATAATAAAGTTTAGTTATCTGTCTTTAACTTCCAATAGTGCCAAGATCGATATACCAGGCGTCTAGGAACTGAGCGAAATATCACAGTCGGTTACATGAATCCCAATTACCGGACACATCCGTCATCACCACGGATTTCTTCTTGCCAAATATCCGTGGTAGTAGAGGAAGTAGGCTAACAAAGTTGTCCCTGCGCTTAATCAGATAAGCACTGTGTCATGAAGACATGGGGAGTGGAGGTATAGCTCCACCATTCTACATCTCGGCACTAGATAAAGGTGAATGGTCAGATTACGCACCTGCTGCTTTACCCCCGGGTGAACAGCCCACAGTACCCATTCAATAGGAGCCTGGGTGGTTCCGGGGCCGGTCCGGACGCAGTAGAGAAGAGAAAAATCTTGCACTGTCGGGAATCGAACCCGGGACACTGATCCCCGTGGCCGGTCGCTATACCGACTGAACTATCCCGGCTCGATGATAAATTGGTGGTAGCGGGAAATACAACTGTTTAGGTTATTTCGACAGATTGGATGAAATAAGTCTTAAAAACCAGTTCATAATTATAAGGGGGAATGGGGGGTAAATAATGGCTTATGATAATGCACGGAAGATAAGTTCATCTGCTTCTGTTACCCAAGAAGTTGGCTCAAGCTTCTGGCTTCGAATTCAGGAAGAGCCTGGTTCGAATATCGGCTTGGAAACAGGCTGTCCTTACTGAGGATTTGCGTGGCTTTTCTCAGCTCTTCCAGGCAAAACAATGTCTTAAATTAGGGCAAGATCGCTTCCTTTCACACAGCCTTCCAACTGAATATTCACTACCATCCTATCACTCGACGCTATTCGACGCTATACAACCTGTTACGGACAGAGTCCGTTCAATACACTTAAAAATAGTACATATTTCTTTTTCTGCTGTTTCGACTGCACAGCACAGAGATAAGTTTGTCCATCCCTGCCGTGAGCGGCTCCGTAGCCTTGCATACGGTTGTCGACTCCGCGTTTGGCTCACCAATGCAAATTCAGGCAGCACCCAATACATTAAGTCAGACAGAGATCAAGTGAGGCCTTGACTGCTGTTGATTCGTAACGACGCTTTATCGACTGAATATGTTATAAAGCGTTGAACTGTTCAACTCATGAAAGATTTAATCCCTATGCGTGTGGGAGGAAGTACAATTCAGTCTAATTCAAGATATTACGCCAAAATTCTGCTAGCGGAACTGGGTAAACTAATCATTCTAAATTAAATTACGCCGATCACAATGGCCGCTTAGTCTAAGGCATGAACCGTCTTCGCCCGTTGGAACACTGGGATCGTGACTTCGAATCCCACTCCAAGAATGGATGTCTGGTGTGCGTTTATTGTGTTTGTGTTGTTCTGTGTGTATGTAGCGGCCTTGAGACGGGCTGATCCCCCGTCCAAGGAGTCCTTCCGTCTGTGTATATTAAGAAACTGAAGAAGTGGCCAAGGTCCAAAGGGCTGTAGAGCCGTGGAAGAGAGAGAGAGAGAAATGAAATTACTTTAATCCTATGACGAGATTATCTATCTACCTATGGCTCTACAGCCCTTGTGGACCTTGGCCGCTTTTTCAGTTTCTTAATCTACACACAGTCGACAGGACTCTTTGGACGGGGGATCAGCCCATCTGTACGCACAAACCAACAGAACATTTGTAGGCCCCACATTTTCTTCGTGTTCTCGAGGTAAAGGCTATCAAGCGCTCAAACACGCCCGCCGTTTCTTTTAACGTCGTCTCTTTGTGCCACTTTGTCCACCACAAATCCCACTTAACCAGACCCGGGATCGAACCCGCGCCGCCGCGGTGGGAACCCAGCGACTAACCGCTTGAGCTATGGCGCGGCCCAAAAAATAGAGCAAGTCTTCGCTTAACTTTGTCACGGTTGACGTTACTTCGTTATCACGTTAATATACTACAGGGAATATTTTACTGTGTAA